TCAGAGTGATTTATTCGAGTCAAATATCCATGTGACACATAATCATTGATATCGTGCAGACAGTCATGTTGTTTCACCCGCCGATCATGCCGATAAAAAGAGTTTTGGAAGAGACATGCACCAATTAATGGTTAAACCTAAATAAAATGCAAAAAAGAACTAGGTAGAAACATGGAAGTACAAGTGTAATTTTTTTGGTGAGTCTCTTTGCATGTACGTAGAATGAGCAGCTAGTTCATCTCCCACGAGTGATATTTGCTCATCCTCATACTTTAGCTTCATTTTGTTTTGGCGCTATTTTTCTAGCTCATCTAATGTGTTTTTAAGTGTTCAAACCTCACTTAATTGTTAGCATCATCAATGCAGGGTTCATGATTAATGTACCTTTCAAAGCCGAGCATGCGTTCCCTTTTCCCTTATGCTGTCTCTTAAAGAAGGAAAAGGCTTTTCTGTTCTCTTTTTTTAAAACATCGCTTTATGCATATATAATCATCATCCTTTTAATCGATGATGCATGCCTCAGCGCAGCATGTACGTCATTTTAGGCTTCATACTTATTATTTATAGTTAAAAGTCAGATGCGTTCGCGTCAATAATACCAAAGACTCGATCCATCCCACTTTGGTTTGATCTGTCTAATCGAATAAAATTATAACTTGTCAAGTTTAAAGATGTAGGAGTGCAGAGCATTGAAATAGGTTTTTGCGGATGCATCACGCTTGCTACTTTTGGTAAACGTCGGAGGTATTTTTATTTACGATGGTGTATCGTAAAATCGGCGAAACCCAATTCGTCGTTGCAGTAGAACGCTTTGGCCTTTAGGTACAGCATAAAAATAGGTACGGCATAAAAACTCCATTATCCTCTTATAAATGGGTTTTTTAGCCGCCGAATAATTATTTTTATGTGCCTGAGTGTCTAAGTTTTTCTAGGTAGGTAAGCACGTTTGTTGCATCCTGTATTTGATGCACTTTTCAGAATCTCTCGATTTTCGGTAAATGTGAAGCGCCTCTTTTTTACACTAACCTTAGTTCGCAAACTAGGTTTATAGCTGTGGTATTTAATTACATTTTGTTAACCCCACGGTTTTTGTGTGCTTGCGCTTTCACGAAGTCTGATAATTGTTGGCAAAAACTATACAATATGCTTTTTGCTGACATTATGCATGCAAGTTTGCCTGCTTTAGAATATCGATGGAATTAGCATCATGTAGTCTCTCCTGAATTCATGATATGAGATTTTCCACCGTTTCGAACTTTCATTTCTGAACAAAACAAGCTGGTTGCCGTAAAAGCCACTACCTAATATGTGAAACAGGTGCACTTAAAAGTATACGTTTTTATTTCCCGTTTTCCATGGTTCTCAAATATATCAGGGGATTTATTTTCTGCATTTCTTTATGAGAAAGATCTAGTTTTGTTTAAAAATTATTGTTGAGGAAGGTTTTATCTGTAAATGTATGTTGCTTGGATGTTGTTCAGTTTTTCAAGTTATACTTAGATATCTTTCGCAGATCAACGGTACTATTTTTGGGGTTATTCCTCCATGTCACAGCACTATATACTATTTTTGCCTCTTATCTTTCTTGATTTTTTTTTCGTTTAAGTGAATCTGAAAAGGTCTTGGTTTTTTTTTTCAGTCTAGTGTAATACCTTGT